GCCTGATACGCGGTTTCGCCTGCCATGGGAGGCCTATCAAGGGGGCCTACCCCTGTCACCGGTGCCGGTATGCGGCCCTCTGCAAGCATCTGCGCATGAAACCGCTCAGCATATGTAGGCTGATCATCGGGGCGTGCACACTGCGGCTCCACGACAAGGATGCACTCGTTATCCTCTGGTCCGTCTGTGCGGACAGCGTCGACGAAGCACCTCGTGAGCTCCTGGACCTCCTGGGCTATGCCAGGGGCGCGGTGCAAACACTTGGGACACTGTCCTTTGCACGCCTTGCTGCCCATGAAGGGCCAACTATTCGCTGCACTCATATGAGTGAGGCTGACGGAGCAGTCTGGCACGAGCTCCAAAAGCGTTGCATGGGCAAGGATGCCCGCCGCAACAGATCTATGTCTGTTGGCTTTGCAAACCACATGCACGGCAATGGACCTAATCCCAGCGTCCTTAGCGTCAAGGACGTTCGCCACGATGTGCCTGACGTGGGCGATCAGGTTGGGGTGGTCCGCGTGCTCCCGAATTATATCGGGGTTCGACCCAACATGCTTTGTGCGGTCGCGCTGTTCGTCGTTGCGCTGTTGGGCTTCTGCTGGCGTCAGATCGTCTTTCCGATCGTCCCTGAGCCACACCATGTCCAACATCACTAGCATATAGCTAGTGGCACTCGCATACGTCGTGAGCGCATGCGTTTCCATCTCTTCGTGCTGTGCGAAGAGCTCGGCCGCCGTCCACTTCCCTCTGACGCGTTGCAGCCAGGCATGGTGCTCATAGCCCCAGGTAAAAACATCAATAATGATGTCCGGGTTCGCTGTGTCCCCCGCATAGTATGGTAGCAAGGCCAAATCCGGATTATACACGGTTGCTGGAAGAGGAGTGTCGAGCTCCGGACCATGGGGTCCTCCACCTGCCATTATAACCAGGGGCCTGTTGTGCGGATCCTTCTTCACAACCGCATCGAACTCGGCAAGCTCGCGGTGCCCTCGCGCGATCTCCTTCGGGTGCACTGTGGCACGAGCTGCCGGCGGGTTCCCTGGGCTATCCCCAGGCCTAGCCTTCTCTGTGGGAGGCGCTTTCTTCGGCAAGCCACTCCCTGGCGGCGCCTTAGGTGCAGGCGCGGAAAAGGCAGGAGTGATCACCGGTGCGGCACTGTGGCCGACCGCAGGCGAAGTCGCCATGGCACTGTGGCCAGGCTCCGGCGCTGCTGAAATCTTCGGTGCAGCCTTTGCCGTCGGGGGCGCCTTCTTAGGCAGCTGCCCCTCCTCTGCGGCCATCGCGGCGGGCTCCGTGTCTCCTACGGACGTGCCTACCATACAATGATTCGGGAACGCTACGCTTATACGTCGCTTAGTGTTGTTGCGATTCTCAGCTGTCGTTGTGAAGCTGTGACCGTGGCCTACGCCTAAAGTGCTATGACCATGGCCTGCATCTACAGTACTGTGACTGCGACTTGTTGCCACTGCGTCATCTGCCGCTGTTGCATCTCGAGGGGTGCTCACAGACTCTGAGTGAGCTAAGGTGGCGGCGGCGGCAGACCTAAATATAGGAACTGGCGGTGAGGGAATTTGGAAGCTTCTTATGAGACGGGGTTGTTTCACCTGAACCAAACCTTCTGTTATGTTTATGCATAACAGCCCTGAGTCATGTGTCCGACACAGCTTGATCCTAATGATGCTATCCTCAGAAGGAAGTCGAACACCACACTCGCCAAACCGAAGATCCTTGGTTATACCAAGTTGGGCCTGGGCGTAAAGGGACAAAAGAAGAGGGGCTGTACCCTTAATCTCGTGAGAATCAAGGACGCCCGGAACTCTCAAGTCCTGCTCCAATCCCATTATAGAGAAAGGTATGGTCCTGCTACCCAGGGTTTCGGTAGCACCGCTAAGACCCTTGAAGGTACGATTGCCCTCAGGTTTAAACCTCGTGCTGTAACCGAAGTTCGCAAGTTTCCCCGCCGCGTTTGCTATCCAATCGCTACCGTGAACAGTCGAGTTACAGCCCTCATCCAACACGGCGTATACGTGCTTATCCTCGTAGATATTTACTACGGGCAAATCAACCAAAGCCGGATGGATATCTGTGACCCCCTCAGTGAAAGCCACGAAGGCGTGCCTCGTCGCGGAGGCCCTCGAGGAGCGCGATCTCGCCGACGCCACTTCCCAACTGTTGTTGGTCGATGGCGCAGAGTGATCATCTAAGGCCTCTTGCAGATATGCGAGAAGGTCACCGCGAGATATCACGGGCTCGGTTACGAAGTGACCCTCTATGGTCTCTTGAAACTGGGCAATAGCCGGAACTACTACCTCTACGGGAAGGCTATCCCCCGTGCTGCCGACTATGCTGCGCAGAAGGTCGAAGTCCAGGGTATTGGACTCCCGCAGCACTGTGGCTGCGTCATCCCTAGCCTTTCGCTCGGTCTGCGGCTGCTCATCTAGAAGCATCCCACAAAGCTTGCACTTAATGCGGGAGGTCTTCCTACTGCTACCCGACCTCTCGGTGGAGGTGTGGGGGCATGTGGCCTGGTCTATGACAGGCTTCTCTTTCTTCGTCTTGGTGACGGTGCCGCATTTCTTACAGGTCCGCATGTCTATGTATGCGTTACTCCCCGACTTGTTGAACTCCTTGCAACCTCCCCGGCATTTCCGGGGGCCTTCGCTGGACGAAGCAGCTGACGCGGCGAGGCGAACCTCGGGCTGAAAGGGTTCAGGCGGGGGCTCCTGGCTGAGAGGGACATCCCTTCTCGTGATGCTAATGGGGTTGTCATCACGCACATCAAAGTACTCCGTGACCCAATCCAAGAAATCGGCCAAATTTATGGATGGGCACTTCTGCGTGCGTCCCCAAAGAACATATCCAGGAAACGTATACAAGACACGCTCATAAGTCAGACCCTTATGCTGACCAAAAGAGAAAACGCGATCGGAACCCTCAGGCGGGCTGTCACGCATGATCCTAGCGGCGGCTGTGCGCCGAAGCTGCGGTGAGAAGAGGGTTTCACTGCCGCGGCCTTTGCCGGTATTGATCCTCGAGGGAGTCAGCTCAAGGTTGGCTGGGTAACCCTCGAGCCTACCAGCGCTCGCATTCGACAGGTGAACACACTCTGTGTCATCCTCCTCCACTGCGGCGAAATACGCCTGGGGCTTCGGCGCCGCCGGCTTTGCGGCTGCGTTGGCAGTTCCCCCAGACTGTGCTGGGGTTGTGGTGCCCTTGGGGCCATTGCCCTTACCGCTAAACTTGCAGGCAGCATCTCCGGCCCAATGGCCGATCACACCGCACTTCAGGCACCTACTCTTTGCCTTAAGCTCTGCCAACTTGGCCTTACGATCAGCAATAGTCAAATTGCTACGCACGACCTTCCCTCCGGATTTTCCGGAGGACTTGCCCTTGTTCTTCCCTTTTCCTTTTCCTTTCGCCTGGGCAAAGGCGGTCTGTGCCGCGTACGCAAGCTGAACTGACTCGGCATAGGAATCATCCAAATCGTCAATCTCAGCTTCATATGCCACTGCCGTATAGGCGTTGAGTTGCAATGCTAGGTCTTCATCATCAATCCATTCATCCGCATCATCTCCCCCAGACGCTGTGGCCTGGTATGCTTCCTCGCCGTAGCCGTCACCGTAGCCTTCCGCGGATTCCTGCTGTTCCTGGTGACCATACTCTGCGGCACTACCATCATACCCCATGTAACCAAACTTAGGGTATTGTGGCTTAGCGTCGAAACGTCTCCAGGTCTTACCTGGGCCACTAGGGTCCTTCTGGGTAAGAAGACGTTCCTTCATGTGCACCACTGAGTGATGCTGAACAAGGACGCGTGCGTACTCATCCACGGTGTGTACGCGGGCGGCGGTCTTGACCATTAGCTGTTCGTTCCTTTCCAACCCTGAAAGCTCAACAAGGAGGTTAGCCCTCATTGCTTCAGAAAGGCGGATATCAGGATCTAGCTCACGCAAGGTCGACCACCACCGCTTTCGGCGGGCTATGTAAGACAACATAGGCTCGCCGGGTTGTTTTGCGAGTGGGCCCGTCAGGAGCTGTCCCTGACGGAAAAGTTCGGAAGCCTCTTCAGATTGAAGAGGGAAAGCTTGCCTCCTGATTTCTTCTATCAGGTAGTCGACGCCATCATGGCGAAGCAGACGTTCCAGGCCGACGTCGCGAGCAATGCAAAAGGCGTCTCCTCGGAGACCCTCCAAAATCTTGCTAACGCATTCGCTCATATCAAGCGACTCGTCCTTAATGTCTTGCAAGGTGTACACCGCCGGATCTGTGTCCGGCTCCTGCTCATCGTCGCCCGCCACTTGGCTGGGGTGCGACGGCAACGACTCCGCATCCTCATCTTCTGCCTCGGACGCGGGCTTAGTCCGTTTTGCGCTGGACGGACTGGCGGGTATACCGCTGCTTCCATCACCATCTGTGGGCGATGCACTGGTCCCCTGACTTGCCCTGCCACGCCACTTCCTTGGTGACTCGCTCTTGGCCCTTGCCGACTCGGCAAATCGCAGGTCCTTAAGAGCCTCACGCCGCTGCTTCTCCTTATGTTGCAGCACACGGATCTGTGTCCGGAAGCACCAATCGTGGAAGCCAGCAGCCGTACCGTCGTATATGTACGAACCGCTTTTCGTTTCTGCAGGGCTCAGGTTCTGTGACCAGAGATTGGGCTGGTAACGCAAACCTGCCACGCTCATGGCTTCAGATAGAAGGGGCCTTTGCGCCGCGACTATCACTACTCTACCCAACGGACCCCGGACCACAGGCTCTACGGGGGTGAAACACTAGTGGTTGTCCTCACAGCTCCGCTACCAGTTTGAAGCAGGAACTGGATTAGTGAGTGTCCAACCACACAACGAGCGCACTTTTTGGTCTGAGCCCAAGACGTCTGTCGTACAGGGTGCATTCAGATCTAACTCAAAAGACTACACTCGCATGAGGGCAGGTCAACACGGCGCTTCAAGACAGCGAAATTTCACAACTTTTAAACATGGAGAAGTGGCTGAAGCGGCCCCAAGCTGCGCCACTGTGCACAGACCAGGTCTTCTGGTGCCAGGCACATCATGTCGAGGAAGGCCGCCTCCTTGGATCTTCCCTGACTGCGCGAATACGCGCACATGAAACAACTTGGGCCAAGCTCGTTGGATGCGTCATCGACATGCTCAGCATAATCGAAGGCCGCGCGGTGGAGCGAGAAAACCATGGCTCCTGCCCAGCGAGCATTAAGAACTAAAATGGTATAGAGTATACAAGGACTTTCCAGCTTGCGGATAGCTTCTACTGGACACAGCAAACCGTGCATGAGCATGGCTGAGACGCCGCAGGCAAGCTGCACCAAGAAAGCTCCTTGCGTCACGGAATCGAACAAACCGCGCCGCCCGGTGTAGGCGTATGCAGCCCGGCTGTAAACTGCCGCCAGCACCATGTCCTAGTATGTTATATTGGGAAATGTTGGGAGACAGTCTCTGAGCACTGGACGTCAGGCCCAAGCATCGGGCACAGAAGCTAAGGACCCCTTCCCGACATGTACCAAGAATCTGTCAGTGTTGGCAAATCATCCCATGGCGATAGCCTCTGGCAGAGATTCTGGTACTTCTCCTGGGAAGACGAACATCCAGCGTTCAGGCACAAGCCCTTCATGGAGTCAGCGGCTCCCAAGGAAAGTTCAAGCACGAGAAAGCAGCGAAATCAGACCTCAGAGACCTCTGAATTGTGCCACAGTGCTACGTCGCTGTGCGAACGTCGGATGACTGCGGTAGGATCGATAGGCACTTGCGACATGCTGCGTCCTGGGTTGCCAAAAACGGATTCACCACCTACATAATGCGGGTCGCCATGCCTGGAGAATCAAGGAATGAGGGACTGGCTACCAGCAAGGTCACCGACAGCATTCCAAAGGCTCTCCATGGCGCTCGAGCTGTTGTCACACCAGAAGATACGAGCGGCACTTTCCTCGCTTCTGGAACATGAAGCAGCTGATGACATGGGGAACCGACGCATGATCACGCAAGCAATGCTGTGTCTGTTCCTTGGCGGACCTGGTATCAAATGAGAGGAGCTACCCTCCTTGCTGTTGGAATTTTGTACAGCTGCGAAGGCCACAGACTACGAACAGGATGATCCAAAACCCGCCATGCACACAACTTCGCTTACCCCACACACCTGGCAGCTTCAAAGATCAACTCGGCTCTGCCGTCCAAGTGGCCCGAAGCGGTTCACCTCGGCGCCAGCGCCGGCGTCGCACCCGATCCCCGAAGCCTGGCAAGCATGGAACTCTGACGAGACCTCGAGACCGAGGGTTGAGCATCTAGGTGCCACGCTGAGACTCTTGAAGCAGACCGCGAGTGTGGCTTTGACAGTGCAGCATTTCAAGGACAACAGGAGGGACGGCACTTGGTGGAACAAAGTCCAAGTAAGCTTCGATCACCATGTTGATATGGAACGTAAAGCTCCGCTAACCTGAACGTCTTTGTCTGACCAGGCGGCGAGGTGTGGCACGGCCGCCAAGGCGTTGGGAGTCTAGCCTATCTGCAGTGAGTGCGGCCGGACAACTGACTAAGAGCACATTCTGGCCGTGGAACCGGTTGAGAAGCAAGTTCGTTACATGGCCCTTTGCACCTGTTAGGCTTGGTTGCGTAGATCCAGCCATCGCAGTCGGTGGTCGAGTCCACCTGTCAGGCAGGGTGCAAGCGTTTGCCTCGGAAGAAAACTCACAATCTGAAGTCCTCGGATGCCCTGCATTTAGGAAGCTCTCTTGGGCAGCATCCTTGAAGATATCCCATCACATTAGTCCAAACCTTCTTGCCGAACAGCTTAGCTGAACAGAGTCGATTGCAGCTAATACGAAGATGAGCCTTCGGGCCATAGAGGCAGGATGTTTCCTCGCCGTCGGGCTTTGGTGGGTAGACCAGGACTTTCAGATCTGCCCTTGGTTGAGAGATCTTCTCATGGCTGTGTAGACGTCGGTTGAGGCTTGCACACAGTGTCGCTGGTTGTGGCACAGAAAGGGCTATGTCTGTGCTGAGCGGCGAAGTAAAGGGAACGTCTTTGAGCTTCGTCGCCTTGACATGGCGGTCTGGAGACGGGAACGCGGCCCAGCCCCAGGGGCTCTCGCGCTGGGATGGCGGCACTTCCCGTTTAAGCTCATTCCAACTCGTTCCCCGGTCGCACTGCACCCTTGCAGATGAGGCACGCCATCATCGGCCCTGGGAAGCACTGATAGCTTGCAAGTTCCAGTGATCTTCCTCCGTAGTGCTGCCCAAGCTGCAGAGCCTCGTAAGGTGGCGCGCGCTCCTTGAGAAGTGAAGTTCTGAAGGGAGCAGTGGAAGAAGCGGAAAATACGAACATTCTCAAACGGAAGAACCACCACTCCTCGATGAAGCTGTCGGCCCAGCTCCGCGTTTCCGACGTAGGGGTCTCTTCCCAGGCACCAGACCAACCAATCCTGGTACAGCACGGCACTTCCCCGAGGGGCTCTTCTTTCATGGCGACTTAATCTTGCAGACGCGGTGCTGCTGGTTCTCGAGGATCCAGAGCGGCAGACCTTCGAGCAGCTCGGGCTCCCGGTCCTCGGATGCTGTTTGCTCAGCTTGAAGCGAGTTTATGCTTGCATCTTGTGCTCCTGCTGAGCTCAGCAAAAATCGGCAACCCGGTCTCTGTCGCCAGAAAGGCTGCTGCCATGGCCGACTGGCATCGCCTCTGCTGCGCCTCCTTTGCCACTCTTCTATGTCCTTTAGCTACCAGAGCCCTAGCCAATCCTGGATTCTTTGGACGCTGTGGGTGGGTACATCTGGGTATGGCACGCAACATACGCTCTCCTTGAGATCTTAAAGGCAGCGTTGATCGTCTAGCACAGGTTGCGCCCAAAGGCTCGAAACGGAGAAGGCTGCATGCACATGTCGCATCACATACCCAAACAAAAACTCCCTGATTACAACCAATCCCTGCTGACAAAGTTTGTCTGCAGATTAACGATCGGTGCTATGCAGCTGAGGAGACAACCGCTTTTCTTAGACCTGCGAAGAGCTGCAGCTCTCTCGTTGCCTGCTGTGAGGAAGGCCTTTGGCCAAGGGTGCGGCTTCTTTTTCTTCTTTTTCTTCTTCTTCTTATCCTCAGACAACGCAGACGAAGAGCCGCAGTGGCATAGTCGGCGGAGACTTCGCGGTGCGGCCCGGGGCCCGCGGCCTTCTTCTTCTTTTTCCGCCGCCTCTCCGAGGAGCTCTCCGAGGACTCCTGGAGAGAACAGGCACAGGCCCTCTTCAACTCCGAGGATGGCGTGCTGCAGCGAGAAAGCAAGGAGTACTGAAACATTTCAGCTCGAGGATGTTCGTTTGCGATTCCTCGCTTGTTCTTCGTGAGGACGGGCTCTTCTCCTCCTGGATGCATCACACGACAAGCGATCGCGACATTACGAAGCTGCGTCTTCGTTGACGAGGAGGACTTATCCAGACGATGCTTTCAAAGCTGGGTCGTACTCCCATGCCCAATTTCCATCCCAGTGGTCCTGCCTAGGCTCACAAACCGCAAGTCGGCAGGAACGGGTCACGTGACCCCAAAGTGTTCGACAGGTGCAAAAAGTCATTGACTAGATGGTTAGATTGACTGCAAAATTGGACTTGCATGGACTTGCTCTTCACAGCTTCTGCTACTGGAGCCGCCTCGGAGGGCGGAGCCTTCTCCTCAACGACAGGTGGCGGGACGCCTGCCTGTCCATGAACCGTGCTTCAGAGTCTTGTCTCATGGGGTAAACACCAACAGGTCACGACGAGCTTCGGCTATTCTAACAGCCTTGCAGGGCGTCCGGGGAACTATTGCAAGCGATAAAAGGCTCACGAAAACGAACATGGAGACGGAGATCGGCTTGCACCCTTTGTCTTTGTTCGTGGGATGAGAAACAAACAGGGTCTAGGGTCTCACAACCTCGAACCCTGCGCACTTTCCCGGTCCATAGATGCCAGCGCTCCGAGCTCCGGGAGATGGTGATGCTGCCATCACACCCAGCGTAACATCTGCAAACGTTGTAAAATCGCCTTGCCAGTACCACAACTCAATTCGCACCTATATGGCGAGTGCAGATGCACCCTGCAGTGTGGGAAACAGGGCACCGCCACACGCTGGCGCTGTGTAGCACGCTCATGCTATTTGCTGGAGTGGGGTGTAAAGAAAAGGTGACCTAAAAAGGTGCAACAGTGCAACACTCTCGCAACACTACACCTATGAAACAGATGAGTCTGATTGGCGAGCCGGCTTCGAAACCGCTGGTCACTAGTCCAAACGAGAGCCTACCTAACCTAACCTCCTACACATGTCATGTCCCCGAACTTGTCCCAGCATGGCTAAATGACACCAGGGCATGCAGTCAGATCACTGGCAGCTGGACAGCCTGGCAACAGAGTGTCGAGTCAATGCCTCGGAGAATTCAGAAAATCCAGCAGGGCGCTTGTATGCACTACCGGCTTGCGCCTTCCGCACTTCATTGTGGCGTGGCGGCATCTGCGGGTGGGGGCGGTGGTGGGCTGCCGACCACGGCGGCAAGTTCCGCTGCCACGCTGGCATCGCCAGGCTGCACGGCCGCTTCTGCTGGTGCGGGTGCCGGCGGGAGGGCAGGCTCTGGCTGCACAGCCTCTGGTGCAGGTGTTGGCGGGAGGGCCTCTTGCGCTGCTGGCAAGGCTTCTAACCCGAGCCCCTCAGGCGGGGGTGGCACCGGCGGAGCCTCGCCAGGCGGTGCCTCGATCGGACCAGGCAGAGCTCCGGCGGGGGCTCCCATCTGCAAGGCTTGTGAAGGATCGGCAGCCATCACCTTCAGCTAGAGTCTAGAGCATTGCGAGTTCCTGTTAGATGCTCGATCTTCGATGTCGCTCTGAGGGCCCGTCAGGTAAGCCAGCGGCGGCAGCGTCCTGGTCGACGACAGAAACCAACATGCACGTGCAGCACAGCGCAACTCCCCTCTGCAGCACTCAGCATAAAGGCCTGGAAGCCCGCCGGTTGCTGAAGAAGCGTCTGTTGCTGCATCAGCGGCTGCTGCATCGCCACAGATTGCTGCATCATTGCGGGTTGCAGGTACTGCTGCATGCCAGGCTGCAGCAATTGCTGCACGCCCGGTTGCTGCAGGGCGAACTGCTGCATGCCAGGCTGCACCGCGAACTGCTGCAGACCCGGCTGGACTGCGAATTGCTGCAGCTGCTGCACTCCCGGCTGCTGAATGGCGTATTGCTGCATGCCAGCCACGCCATACAAGCCCTGCTGCAGTCCCTGTTGGGGCACTGCCTGTACAGGCAAAGACTGCTGCAGGACATATCCGCCACCGGGCCTGAGCTTCTCGCAGCACATGCCTATACCATCCATTACCGTCCTGTGCTTGCGCTGAATCGGATGCGCTCCAATCTGAGCCCCTGGCAAAGCGGTGAGGGCTGGTTGCTGCACTTGTACGGCATAGCCCGCGACCCCTTGCAAGGCACCTTCAGGGACATTACAGAACTCAAAGCACTCTTCTGGTTGGCGCCATCACGCGTTCGAGCTGCGGTGATCTCGCCTGCTGTCAGGCCAGTAACACCGTACGGGCTGTACCCCGCCGCAGCAACTGTGCCAGCTCCTGCATGCCGGAAATTCGACATGGCTTGGGGGCGTTGGCTGAGACAGCAGCTCGCAGAGCTGGGCTCGGGAAGCCGGGCAACCGGGCAACCCCGGGCAACCTTGAACCCCCATTTTGAGCCAAGGCTCCATTGGACACAGGGCCGTAGCCACGTTGGCCCAAGGGCTGGCTTCCGCCAGTGACATTCTTCGCGACCTGCCAAGAGCTGGAACGTGGGAGAGCGATGCGGATCTGAAGAAGCGGATTCCCAAGCGAAGTTGCGCCCCAGCGCACCATCTGTCCCGGCTTGGTCTCACTGGGCTGCACGTCGAAGCGGACCCAATCGCCTGCACAACTTGGAGGTCCGAGTTTCAACATAGCCCTGAACACGAAAGTTGTACTAAGTCTTCAGCGGAACCTTGCTGTGGCTGGGTGTTGATACACTCCTTGACGTGCAGCCAAACATTCCTCAGCAACTCGGACACCAGCAACCCCTCAGATGGCTCACATGAAAGTCGATCTTTGATGGTACAAAGCCACGGCTGTCCGGGCAGATCAATGAAGCCGTAGCCCTTGGTGTCGTTCCAGGTCCGCCTTGGCTCTCAGTTTCACCAGAGACACCAAACACAAAGGTAGCTGCGCCCTGAGCAAACAGAGGTTAAGTTGTGGAGGGGGAGGTGGAAATAGAAGCAGAAGCCGAAGCTTACGGGCCAAGAAGCACTTTGCCGACGTTCGCGCCCGAGCCGGGAATCTCCGGAGCAGGCTCTGCTGGGAACTGCGGCATCTCCTCCGGCTCTGTGAAAAGACGGACCCAAGAAGCACGAGCCCCGCCGAAATTGTGACTGCAAGGCTACATCAAGACTAGCTTCCCAGCATGCGTGCCTTGACGCCGGTGCTACCTTCCACGCTCTTGGCAACCTCTGGCAGAACAACAACATGCTGGAGACCTCGAACTCAAGTCGCAGGCTGCTTGCAACGCTGCGGCCATCTGCCCCGGCTTGGATTGGCTCGGCTCCATCGAGAAGGTAAGGACATCTCCAGGAACGGGCTGCTTGTCGTCTATGCCTGCTCGTCATAGCTGCATGGCAGCTTCAGGCAGTGGTTAGTTACATTTAAGTGCTGTCGTTGTCGTCATGGACCATGGTTGCGATAGCAGAAGCAGCAGCAAGGTACTGAACAAAATCATGGAGAATCCTTCATCATCGTCGTCCAACCAATCGCAAACCACATGGCACCGAAAGTCATTCAAGCCGTTGATGCGGGTGCTCAGGAATGCAAATCATTCAGCGGTCTCGTCTCTAGTGGCGATGCATGTTTCCGGCTTCACGTTACCGTACAGACCTCATACTACTGTCGTTGCGACTCCTGCTGACCGCCTCGGTTACTTGCGGCGGGGAACTCTCTCGCAGCTGAGCAGTAGCAAAAGGCTCAACAGACCAGAGCCGAACAATCATCACGAAAGAACACAGCAGCTCGACACTTGCTTTGTTCGTAACTCCAGCAACTGCAATACAGGCATGAGTCAAAGCTTTCTCTTGAACTGCTGGGACCCTTTTTTGCATGACACGCTGTGGACCTAGTTCATTCCAAGTGTCAGTCTTTGATGTGGATGAAGACATCGGTACCTGTGCCAATGTCCTGAGCGAGTGCCACAGCAGGAATGCCGTATTGGGCCCTGATTGCCAGCACATCGTTTTGGAAAGCTGGTAGCATCAAATTTCAGACTAGAGAGGATCAGACAGGCGGCGATGAACCCGAAGCCCTTGGCCCCGTTGAAGCTTTTCACTCTTCCCTGTGTTCGAGCCATGGCTCCACCACGAAATGGTCTCAAGAGACTAGTCGTACATAAGTTTGGAAGCTTTTTCTTATGTAAGTCTGAAGTGCATCTTTATGTGCCTCCGTCGACCACGCGGCTTCGGCATCTGTACCAGTTGGATGTTTGGGTTCTGCGACTTTGCGTGGACGGTTAGATTTTTTTGGGTAGCGTTCTAGGAATGCTGAGAGCAATCCTCACCCAAGCCGCATACCACTCAGGTCTTCTTGAAAGGGCAGAGCACGTCATGGGTACACCGACCAGCACAAAGTCGCCGCCAGACTAATTACATGTTCAAGCCAACTGCGTCCAGACACTTTTTTCGACAGCAGCCGACATGTCAACCAAAGACCTCGCTTCACCTGTCTCCCTCTTTCGGAACCAAATACCACCAACGTTGCCACGCATGTCTGTGGAAGTGTGCTCACTTCCTGCTCCTTGCTCATGCCGGAGGCATCCGTGGCGTCGGACCAGGAAGAGCCCAACGCGGGCCAGTCGATGTTGCTCCGTCGAAGTGATATCCAAGATCTGCACGTACAAGGATGCTGTCAGGTTTGGTCATGGTCGGACAGGGACTCTTCATCCTCGCTTGAACCGCCTGGGCACAAGCCCAGATGTAAGGGCTAAAGTGAAGCGTACCGACTCCAGGCACCTCTCCAGAACTTGTTGCTGACAAGCTGGGGTTGACGCCTTTGAGCTGCGTGAAGGCAGCACTTGAAGTTCGGTCGCCGATTCTGGCAAGGATGCCCTGACTCACTAGACTTCGGCAAAGACAGCAGCGCAGTGACGGTCTCGCACCTTGACTCGCAGCTTGAGGGCTGCCTGAGAACATTGGGTGTGACATGATGTAAATGTACTCTGGGGCCGTCCGACTCACGGACCCTCTTGCAACAGCAACTTGAAGCCATCAAACATGTCCGATGTTGCAGACGCGCGGCCCCGGCTGTGTCCTCAGCACACCGGGTGCAGCTGGCCGCAAAGTAGAAGCGATTGCAGGCTTCCATGCGGAGTTTGCTTCGCTCAGGCACATGCACAAGCCCGTTTCTGCAAGCCCTCAGACCACCAAAGGAGCCAAGCAGCAAAGCCGCGTCTGTACATTGCTTTGCTGCTCAGAGGCCCAGATTCCCCTCCAAGTCACATGTAAGATCCATCTTCGGCCCCATGGACTTTCCTGCGATGAAAGTATCCGTACAGCCAGGGCTGGAGCAGGAGCGATGATCTCGGCAACTGCTGGCGAAAGCATGGCCTGCATCTCTGCACCCGCTGCACTCAGCGCTGGCCGCAGCTCGCTTGTCGTCCAGGCCAGGGAGCAGTGCCTAGACAGAAGCAAGCAATCAAAAGTTGATTGTGCATTTATAGACACACAAGCACACACGCACCACACAAGATAAGGGTCCGATGCACCGAAACTGCCGCTCTTTCAGAGACTGTGCAATGCCTGCAACAACTTCCATCCCGTGCACGAGATGCCATCAAGCAGTACAAACTCCTTCAGTCTTGTCTGCTTGTTGAATCTTGCTGAAACTGTGCAGCCGCCGTGCAGCTGGAGCAGGTCCGCACTGTGAGATGCCACAGGGACCCCCAGCTCGCGCCTCAGTGACCCAGCTTGGGAATCCGCTATGCCTCTGCCGACGACCTTTTATTGCATCAAGCGTTCCCTGCATTCTGCCTGGCAAAGCTCAGTGTTGGATACAGTACCCTTTCCCTGAAATAAACAGGGCAGGACGGGGCCTGCCATTTTGCCAAAAATCTGCACCGCAAAACCCCCAAAGCCATCACAATCTGAAGCATGGGACTTCCAAGCCCCTGGACTATGCCTAATCTCAGTATCGAGCGTGGCAGCTCGGGTTGGGGTTGGGGGCCGAGGACCTGAGGACAGGGCGCCGCGGAGGTCACGGCAGCTGCTAGCGGCCGCAACCAACGTTGGGAGGTGGAGACAGCAGAGACCTCGTAACATCAAAACCGTTCGTGCAAATTCGCTGCCGGATTCCCTCTATTCCCCACCTCTGAATCCCATCCACAGAACTTCTCCCGTGCTCCCGTGTGCGAATCCCCCCCGAGCCCCTGCCCTGCCCCCCCCTCGTGCAAGGTCTTGAAGGTTGTTGCCTCGAAATTAGGCAACGCCAGTTCGGCACGTGCGGCGACGCGAAGCCCGCCCGCGCTCCTTCTGTGCCTGCCCCGCTGCGCTTTCTCCCTCGCTGCGGGTTTCGGCGCTCACTCGGACAATCCAGGCGAGGCATATGGGGCGCGAGGAACAACCCTCCCTGAAATCTCTCTCACACGGACTCGAGTCGATCATGCCGCGAAGAAGCAAGTCGTCATGTCGTTGTTCGACACAACAACACCACCACCACAGGCGTGAAGACACCGCACACGATAGACCCAAGCAGGTGGGACTTGCTCATCAACTGGCAACTGCAGACATCTGCAGACCTGCCATCTGCATTGCAGTCCAGGACGCACCGGCAAAATATCCTTAGCTGTTGGATGCTGACAAAGTCAAACACTGGCTGGGGCGCCGTCTGCACGCATATCTGCACGCTGAAGCTAACTGCCTGAGCACTGCAACCGCAGACGCACCCCGGCTGAGGCGAGCTGACGAGCCAGGTTTCTGTCGCCCTCAGCCGAGGAGAAAACCTCGAAGGTCTCGTTGAACCAAATGTCCTCCTCTTGGCCGTGCTCAGAAGCACAAAATGCCCACAAACATTCCGCATCAAGGCTAAATCCTGTCCAACGCTTCGAACCGACCGGCACCTGCACCCCGTCCGGTATGCTGAGGCCCTCTGCCAGCTTGCGGAGCCTGTTTGGAAGACTTGCGACCACCAGGCTACCAGAGTCGGAAATAACGTGGCATTGTCTGCAGTGTCTGTTGTAAGCTATAAATGTTACTAGCACAGCTCTTAAATTCGAAACTCACGGAGAAGTGCGACTCTTGCGACAATCGGAACTCAGTGCCGAGCTTTCCTAGAGAGTGAACTCCAAAAGCCCGCCCTGCGCCTCTCCTCGAAAGGCTGGATGGACTGGCGCCGCAGCATCATCAAAGGGGCTAGGCTGACATGCCATCCTCGCGGGATGAGTGCCCAAGCCCACAAACATCTGTGAATGTGACTCATGCATACAGAAGCATTCGCGTACAGATGTGTACGTGTATGCAGAAAGTGACTCCGCGGTGCACATGCACAGATGTCGGCCCGCTTGATTCCTGTCTGACTGCCGCTCTAACTCATTGGGTCTGACCGGGCATATGTTCACTTGCAAGCCACACCGTAGAAAATGCAGTGCGTAAAGCGAAAGCAGCGGGCAGGACGACCTTGTCTGTACCAGCGATGGTGTCGGGGAGAGATTTTCTTAAGTCGACTGATGACATCAGGGTCAAGGAGAAAGGGCAGGTCCTGCGCCGACCTGATCAGAGGGCTGAGCAAGGAGACTGCAAGCTTCAGACCATGTCATAAGTCGAGTCGTAGGGGAGCTTGTTGAATCATTTGGAATAATATGGCATGCTATGGACTTGTGCATGACAGAAGAATAATTTTGAATTACCAACAAACCACCCAATAGTCAGAAGATACCTTCCCACAAGACACCGTATCTTTGAGAAGATATGAACTCGTAAACGGAGGGCCTCCGGATCTGTGCCGAGCACCTCTGCCTGGGGTGCTAGCCGCGACAGCAGCGCCTTGCGTTTGTTGCACCCAAATGCATCCAACATCATTTCCCCCTCCTACTTAGCAAGGACGAGGCTTGCATCATCCAAGATCACATATGCACTGATTCACTCGGATCAACTGCCAATGCATCGTTCCCCCGACAAGCCCACTCCGTACTCCGAACCCCGTCAGCACACTCCCACTCTGGAGCGCGAATATACCAACAGCTATCAACAGCTGGTTGTTCTGAAGCCACCGCATGGGAAGACTTGAGTTGGCCGTCGCCGTCCCCTTAGCAGCCTTGCATACAGGGTGACGCGGCACCAGTTGTGGCATGGACTGACAACCCTTCTCACTGGAGCCTTGCAGCGTTCACCAGTCCGTCGCCATGCTCGCCTGATGCAGCAAAAAAGCGAAGACCGAATTTCAGCATGCGACTTAGAGCAGATTAATCTGGCTTGTTGTCGTGGCGCCGCTTCAAGTTTCCCCTTGCGCTAGTTGCGTGCCAAGTCACGTGATGGTCACGGGAATAAACACCTTGGCAACGACGGGCCTTCGAAGCTCTCGAAGGACCGGATGAGTAAGGGCAAGCTTGTGGTAAGCCGAGCGGCTAGGGTCGGATAGTTCCCTTCGACATGTGGAACCCGGCGCTTCCTGCCCGCGTGGGCCTCCGGGTCCTCGGCACGTTCGAAGAGGCCCTGGAGCGTCGAAGGCACCTCAGCGAACGCCCAACGCGTGAAACCATGGGAACCCCGTCGCTCAAGCCCCGTTCTCTGCTTCCGGGTGGCACTGAGGCGCCGCTTCTTGCTCGGCGCATCCGACGAGTCCTCGCTTCCGGAGTCCATGAGTGTCGGGCAGCGGCGCGGTGCCGTGGCAGAAGCTGGCACTTTCGACTTAGAAGCTGGCGCTTTCTACTTAGAAAGTCTCCTATCGTCCCGGCAAACAAAATCTGCAGGTTATGCTCTGCCAACGAAGACAGCTTCGGAGCTTGGAGCACCAAGAACATACCCATTCGCAGCTTGGTTCTCCCAGGCTCCCGTCCCTCGGCAGATTCGTGCCTGCCCCTCTTCCAAAGAGGCCGTAGCTATGGCTCGAGAACCGGCCTGCGTCAGCACAGGAGGCAGCTCTCGCCGTTACCATCCTCCTCTTCTCCTTCCGTACAAGGTCAACTGACGGCTCCTCATAACTTTCCCCTTTCTCGCCTGCAGCATCGGCCCTTCCGCAACATCACTACCCGTCCCCCCTGCCCAAAAAAAAACATGACGGTTGAAACCCCGCCACAGACCGGCACAAAAACACTCAGTTTACCTCCCTGTTGGGCGGCCCCTGTCTGAAGGTGAAGGCCTGCACAGCAGCATTACGTGCCGGGGCCCGGACATGAGGTGACCAAGCCCGTCGTTTGGGCTGGCCGCCACCAAGCGGAACTCCAACTCCAACACCCACTGCGCGGCAGCAGGTGATCAAAAGGACAAGAGTTCAACTACGGTATTCTCTTCGTTTATGGTTCCCAGCAAAAGGAGGTCGCATGCAGGATCGGGGTCCGGGTGCCAGTCTCCACCGACAGCCTTGATGACTCCTACCGCTACCCACAGGCAGCTGGAGCAACCGAGACACCCAGAAGTTTTCATTGAGCAGTGCTGCCCAAGCGCTAGAAACCCCAGGCTAAGGCCAAGAAAGCCCCGAAACGTCGCAAAAAAGTCTCAAAGCAGACTCAACCATCGCCGGGCGCCGCGCTGGCTCCTAAAGGCCGGACTGCGCCAGGGAAGCCAGGCCGGACGAGGCCCGGACATCCGGCAAGGCCGGGATGGCCAGGCATTCCCGGCCGGAAGCCCTGTAGAGGAGTTAATGAAAGTTCGTGACAGTTAATGGCTCATGAAGTCAAACGTTGGGGTGCTTACAGCTCTTCTCCGGTGTCTGGGGGCCAGCTACGAGCACGATCGGATGTTCACAACCCCTCAAGCCCTAAAAAGGCACCTCTCCTAGATACATGAGAGCATTCTGAGGGCGGTGCGAAACTCAAAGCAAATACAACCTTTCCTAACCTTTCCTCTATGTGGTGCGTCATGAACCCCAACCCTGGCAATGTCTGCGGTCTTTCTTCCCCAAATCATGACACCCTTCCTTTGGCAAACGTCTGCAAGGCTTAGCCACTTCTCTTTCGAAGGAAGTATACAAAATCAACACCAGACACACCTGGAGCAAATGGCCAAACAGCAGGGCTCCCTCTGCGTCCCGGGCCGGCATTGCATGAGCTGCATGAGGGTGGTGGTTGGGGTTCACCGGGGGTGGGGGCATCCCGGCACCGGCCTGGCGGTCAAGAGGGAGACCCTTCGAAGTCTGAGACTGCGCAAGGCTTCCTGGCAGATCCTAAGCAAGGCCCCAGGCTGGGCCCCGAGTCCGAGCCCTACTTGGGACCCAAAACCCGAGCTTCCTGCCAAGCCAACGAAGTGTGCGACTTCAACAGGGGCTGCGAATATTGAAAAAGAGAGAGAGAGAGAGAGAGAGAGAGAGAGAGAGAGAGAGAGAGAGAGAGAGAGAGAGAGAGAGAGAGAGAGAGAGAGAGAGAGAGAGAGAGAGAAGGGGGGGGGGGGCGGAGAGGGCGGAGAGGGCGGAGAGGGCAGAGGGCGGAGAGGGCGGAGAGGGCGGAGAGGGCGGAGAGGGCGGAGAGGGCGGAGAGAGGGGGCGGAGAGAGGGGGCGGAGAGAGGGGGCGGAGAGAGGGGGCCGACAGGGCGAGAGATGGCGAGAGATGGCGAGAGATGGCGAGAGATGGCGAGGGCGAGGGAGGGAGGAGAGAGAGAGAGAGAGAGAGAGCACGGGACTGGGAGTAAAGGAGTTGAGGCCGTGGCCGGGGCGGGTCGCAGATTGCGAGCCTGGCAGCTTTGCCACTGGTATTCATGACTTCTCTGACAGCATCCCACAATAGAATGACGCAGCCTTTGGTCTCCAGGTGGACAGCTCCAACATTCTCTGAACTCTTGTTGCCACCCCTGCCTGCCCCCAACATCTTATGGCGGCGAACCTGAGGCTTGCCATCCGGGGCCCTCATCAGCTCGAAAGCCATGGCAGTCCCTGCTAGGTCGGAGGTCCTGCAGTTGAAGGCTGTGAGAGCCTCGCCAAAGCAGGGGTGCGTCAGTTTCCCCGTCCTGAGCTCCGCAGCCACGGTTTCCTTCGCAAACCATATGTCCTGGCAGCTGTTCGGTCGAAAGCCGTGCCTCCTTGTCCAAAACATGCCGCGCATGGAAAAGCTAACCGCTGGCATCCTGCGGAATGTCAGGGTGAATGAGGAACCTCGGCGAAGAAGCCCAAGACTCAAGAATTACCCTCTGCATCTCCAACCTACGATTGCGCAGAGTGGTGGGGGTGATTTGAGTGGGCGCAACCAGGGCAACGAAGATCGGATCACGATGCTAGGCTTGTGGCCCAAAGCCTTTGACGGCAGAGTAACTCTTCACCGTGCCAATCAGCACGGTCCTGGCGGCTATGGTACTGCGCTTTGACAGTCTGGAGGCCGGCAATTCAACGACAGAACTGCGGCAGGAAGGCCCGAACATGGGAGGGCCGCCAAACGCACCTGCCCAACAGGAGGAGTGAGTCGAGAGGCCAGCACATCTGAGTGGTGTTCTGTCAGACACCGGAGCACACCGCACCTGCGCCTCCTCCTCCTCCCTTGCCCCAGGCACCCTGCCCCCAGCCTGGCACTGAAGTAGCGCTTCCACGGGATCCAAAAAATTGGAGCCATGCTGCCCGAACCTGCCCAGCCATCGCCTGGGCCCCAACCACCTGCCCAAGCGTCGCCTGCAAGCGGGACTTGCAAGCGCAGACCTCTCGATCTCATACCATCAAACTTGCCATGCTTCCCAGCCAACGACAATCAGCGTTTGAAGCTACAGTCTGCGCTGTCTCTCGTGGCAGGTAGCGAGGTGGTCTCTCAAGCAGGACTTCCGCCGCACGGCAATTCGTTCACTGGCTTGTCGGCCAGCCGTTCTGCGTCACCCAGTGACCTGGTGGCTTCAGCATCGCCTCGTCGATCTGTGCTCTCGGTCTGGCTGCTCAGCTCGTGCGGATTTCGGCCCCACTCTTCCTTCCTCCCTTCCTGCCCTCCTTCCCCCGGTTGTCCCTGATGCCCTGTGCTCACACGCTGCACGGTTGTCCGCCGAGTTTGACCGGCGCGGGACGTGTCTTGTACGAGTGCACCAATTAGCCTATCTCTCCTGCTCCCGTGCATAAAGACGCGTCTGACCCGGGCCGATGGCCCACCCCTGTTGTTATCTTGCTTGCTTGCATAAGACTGTGTGAGGGTGCGCGGAGCTACGCTCTCTTGCTTTTTAAGAGCTTGAGGAAGGTGTCTCCTATTCCCCTGCGTCAAGCGCATCCCGTTTTCGAGTGATGAGTCTGGAAGTTAGGCAGGTTTTCGGGGGGTGAGGTACGAGCATAACACCTCGAGAAGCTAAAGCGAATATTTGTTTTGACAATGGCGGAGTGACGACGTGTGTAGGCTCTCAGTGACATTTCCCCCGTCAGTCGACTGTGCTTTCCATTTGCTTGCTTGCTTGCTTGCTTGCTAGTGGGCTCGAGCCTTTTCGGACAAGCTTGCGAGATTGGCGACAGATGCGCGTGAATCCTCATGCTCAGTGCCTCCCCAGCCATCACCTGGACCTCGGCAGAGCCGAGAAAACAAAGCTGCGTGTTGAGTCTACTGCCGAGTGCCTGAGTGCCGGGCCGGCGAGGCCAGCACCAGCACCAGCACCCCAGCCGGCAGCAGGGGCAGTTCCCCAGTTCCTAAACGCACAAACAAAACACACACTTCCACGCGCAATCTTCAAACCGTCTCCTGCCACTCTGCCTGTCTCAGCCTCCTGCTGCTGGGGCCAACCAGCCGCCGGCGGTTGGTGTACTGCCGGTGCCCTGTCAAGGCATGTTCACAGCATTTGACAGACAGTTTCCAATAAATTGTTTCTACAAGCTGGGGCAGCAGCAGCGGTCTTGGTTGCTGGCTGAAGCCCCCGTAGGAAGGCGGCGGGGTGGCTGCTGAAAAGCCTCTCCAAACATCGCAGTTTACAGGATACTGGGCAGAGCTGCCTATGAGGATTCGGTGGCTACGCGCAACGCAAGATGCAAACGAAGTCGGGTCGTCTACCTGCTCTCGGCAACAGAATTCACGGCTGCAGGCAATGACAGTGAGCTACAGCACCAAGGAGCCCCTGATTCAGTCCACGGCACGGTGAAGATGTCGGTCCGAGTGCAGTGTCTCGTGAGTGTCTCCATGCTACAGGCGATCTACTTTCTTCCACGGGAGCATACTGGAGCGTTGCGGGCAGCGACGGCTATCGACTTACGACCGGCCCCATGCCCCATGCCCCGAATCGCCGAAGCAGCGCTGCCTTGCCGCGGTGGGATGGCAGTCGACGAGGCGCTGGGCGCCGGTGCAGACTGCGGGGCAGGGGCTTCGTCGGAGAACCTGAGCTGCCCGGCACAGTGCTGCAAATGCGCCTCTGTGGCACAAACCTTCTTCTACCCTCTTTGGCTGCGCACGTGAAGCGCCGGGGTCTTCTGGACCCTTCCGCAGTTCCTGAACAGCTTCTGGCAACAACATCTCTGCTCTTCTGTGATGTCATCTGACTCTCGCAACCCGTGGGAGCCCGCATGGGCCTGAATACCTGATCTTGGGTCTTGGGGTTGATTTGGGGTGGAGCTCACATGGCGGTTTTGACAGCAGAAGGCTCCCACAAATACAAGAGCTCTCAGCAACTCTTTCCCTTTATTGCCAGACCGGAGCCCACCTGTCTCCGCAGCCATGACCTGCGATCGCAGCTCAGACAAACTCTGCAGGCGCATGCTACTTCAAACACGGAAGCATGGTCCATCAAGCCTCAAGCATTTCTCATGGTCACCTCTCTGCGCTCTGAAAACTTACCTATTTCTGCAGCAGCATAATCACTCTTCATCCTCAAACTTCCCCGCGCCACGCCTGCGAAGTGGGGGCTAATCCCCCCTCCGCCGGCCCAGTTGGTCACTGGAAATGCGCGCGACGCCACGGGTCAGGCCAGAGGATTCCCAAGTTCAAGATGGGGAGTTTGCGCAGCACATGCGCTTACCGTTTTGATTGGCCGTGGTGCAGATATGTTTGCTGAAGTCCGGCACAAGCTACACCAGATGCGAAGCAGAAGTGTGCACCTCCCGCAGTAGCCTTTCTTCCGAACGCACGAGAGAGCTGCAGTTGCAGTATTGTAGATCTTTTTTGGGGGGTTGTCTTGCTGTCCAGAGTAGCATCGCCTCGGTAAGCATAGGTCCTTCTCCGCTCATGGTGACCATAGCAAGAGGCAGAGGCTCTCGAAATTAAAAACTACCCTGCCAATGAGAACCTCTAGATATTAGAACTCTGGCCCTGGACTCTGCACAGGAACCACTCGTTTCGCCGGCATCCAGCATTCAGGATCGCCCAACATCCGGCGCGTGTAGTCAGATTAAGGCCTTCATGGCATGGCACGGAACTCCGCGGGCAGAGCGCTATTCCTCTTTATTAATTGCATGGCCGTATGTTGCGTGCAAGATCTGGCCCGTCGAAAACACTGGTCATTTGTCAGAAAAAGTTGAGCCGCTACATGCCACCATATATAGGGCATAGGCCAACGCACTCGACAGTTGGTTCTCAGGCGTGCTTTAAATTCTGGCTGGCGAGCACGTGTGGTCACTGCGCAAACGGGTCCATGACAAGCTGCCTCGCTTTGCCAGCAAACAAGGGGTGGCTCAGCACCCTCATTTCGGATAGCCGCTGCTCGGCAAGCCTTGGAAAGCAACAGGTATCTTTCCCTTTTGCGCTGCAGTGTGCAACCGGTCAGGCGCAACACCACCACGTGCAAACTGTTTTTTGCTCCGTGCATGTTAATCCGTGCACTTAGTGTCTTGGGAGGGAAACTCATTTTGTACACTGAAACCCTCCCTTGTGAGATGCACTCAGGTATTGACAAATTGAAACACCAAAGATCACCTAAACCCGGATGCACACGGGACGATCTAAGTTGATCTACAACCCGTGGAGCCGAAGGTCCAGCCCTGCAGCAGGCAAGTCCTTGCTCGCAAAGCTTTTCAGGGCCTCGAGGGCCTTGTCTCTGCTCGCTTGGGACACGAAGGGGAGGGCATGGAGCACCACAGCGAACTGCTTTGCAATGTCTACCAGCTTGAACCTCTTCTCCGCAGACTTGGAAGGCCCGAAGCCCATTTGCGCTCCCATCTCCAAGCTGTTGCCGTTCAAGAGGGCCGTGAGCTTGAAATTCATCAAATCCCCAGGGTGCTCAAAGTTGAAGAGCTGGAAGACCTCAGGGATACGATCATGGCTCAGACTTTTGTTTCTGGTAAGTTCTTCCAGACGAGACGGAGCCCCTGTGCTGCTCTTTGCTGCTGCAGGGCTCCCTGGGACTGGGCAGCAGTGAGGCTCAATCGGCGTGCGGCCGCTGTTCCACGCAGTTCCTTCGCTTGGATCAAACAGAACAAGCAAATCTAGCTAAGCGCGGTGGAGCCTTAGCTTCGCACGTTCAGGCACTGCTAAGTACTAAATGTCATGGAACAGAGCTAGCCTTTCTAAGCAGGATCCAGCTTCTGAGGTCAAGTTGACACCCAGGTCTTGGGAATAGTTGGCGGAAGCCAGGTACAGGTCTTCCTCCTCTTCCATCCAATCAGACACTCCCTGGCGGGCCTTGTTGTCGGACTGGTTGTGGGCCTGTGCCTGGCGAGTCTTGACATTCTGAGCTTCCTGGAGCAGGTTCTTGGTGCGGGAAATGGACTTTCTTGGAATACTCGGTTGGTTCCAGGTTCCGGTGCTCTGATGCACGTGGTCTTCCGTGAAGTCGCTGGGCTCACCATACCTTTTGGTCAGGCGGATAGACCTGGTCAAGAGCGGTACGCCGCTGGACTTGATCTTCAAGCGCAGCAAACTCAAGTCCTGGCCGTCGGGCCGCCCTGCGGGCCAACACACGGTCGTGTCCACTGACGCCAGCGGCTTGGGCATCAATTCGAACTGCACGCCCCCCACAAAGGCCGCCACGGGCTGTACACTGATGCTGAAAGACACTGTCACACACTTTTCAATTGCCGCCTCTGCCGTGTAGAAAGAGTAGCCTGGCACAGTCTTGGTAGCAGAGCGAGACCGATACGACTGGACAGGATCATTGACCAAGACCTTTACTGCAGATCTCGGGTTGAAGAGCGGGTGTGACCCGACAAAGGCCTATTCTATTCCCGGTGGGCTGGCTGTAGGATCGGTGCGACCCTGCTCCGACACGCCGCAACTTCACAGGAACATCCTAATCTTCGAACCAAGGGTGATCCGCCCTCCCAATCCTACGAAAGACATCTCCGTGAATATCTTCTTCCGTCCCCAACACACAACAGCATTGCATGCAAAGCTCATGCACAGTACGGGCAGCGTGCCTTGCCACTTGTCCCAGTTCTTCTTCATCCATGCGGCTCCACAAGGCACGGCCCAAGAATCCAGTGCCACGAAGTCATTATCGTTCTGGACCTGTCGGCGCACCCTCAGCATATATGGTCAATCTGCATTTGTGCCCTTGCGCCGGCCTGCTGCCTTGTGCATCCTTCTGAAATGACCTTGCTGGTTAACATGGAATGCCAAAAACCTGCCTGCAGGCTTCCTTTCAGTCACTGCCCTCTTTTCCAGCACATTTACCGGATGCTTGGATGCTGCATCATGTGGCTGTTGCATTCAACCGCGACTAAATTTCCGGCATCCTATCCCTTTCAGCAGCCCGCCTGCCAGTCCGCTGCGGTCGCCTGCCCGTTGGCCCCGTGCTTGCTCTTCGGGGCGAATGCCAGGCAGGAGCTCGTGTCCCTTTCGTCACCATCGAACCTCGAAACGAAACAAGCTTCCTTTCAATTGGTTTGATGGAGATATTTTTCCCGTGCAAGCTAGGCGCTGTGTGACCAATCTGGACTGGTAGTGGCCGCCTTCTTTGTGGAGCTTAAAACCGATGCCACCCTTGGGAGGTGCATCATCGGCCTCCTCCATTTGTAGGGCTGACATCTTCGGCCGATGCTCTTGCGCATGGGTGGTGATCACGAGGCTTGACCCGGAGTGATGCACCACGGGTGCGGCCCCAGCGGCCGGAAACCTGACAGGTGCAGGAACACACTGGTGTAAACACTCCCGATCAATCTGACACGGAATCTAGCTAACTGGCTGCTTCCGGCGCAGGGATTTCCTTTTCCGGGCCCTCGCCTCGAAAGTGCGGCCTCTTGGATGAGCGAGCTGCCGCCAGACAGGACCTGGCCTGCCACCGAGGCCGCCACCTTCCCGAAGCCTTCGAGAACATCGGCGAGGATGTCGCCCACGTGGTTCAGGTGGCTTAGAGGGGGCACGCCATCCTTGGGGTCAATCACCCAGTTACCGATCTTCCCCACTGAGCCCCAGGACATCACGTCGGTGGTCTTGTCGCTGAGGCAGCGCATGATATCGGGGCCTGTTTGTGTGCAGCTCGCGAGCTCACCACCCAACTTGGCCACGGTCGCCAAGGAGGGGAAGCCTTTGCCGGGGTTGAGGATCCATCCGCCGATCGTCTTTACGGATGCCCAGGACATCATGTCCGTCGCCTTGTCACTGATGCAGCGGAAAAGTTTGAGCCCCTGCTGCATGCAGCTCCCGAGCTCAACACCCAGGTTGGCCGCGGTCGCCAAGGAGGGCACGCCCTCGGCGGGGTTAAGGATCCATCCACCGATCGTCCTTACCGAGGCCCAGGACATCACTTTGGTGGTCTTGTCGCTGAGGCAATGCATAATACCGGGCCCTGTTTGCGTGCAGCTCGCGAGCTCACCACCGAGTTTGGCCACGGTCGCCAAAGAGGGCACGCCCTCGGCGGGGTTAAGGATCCATCCACCGATCGTCCTTACCGAGGCCCAGGACATCACTTTGGTGGTCTTGTCGCTGAGGCAATGCATAATACCGGGCCCTGTTTGCGTGCAGCTCGCGAGCTCACCACCGAGTTTGGCCACGGTCGCCAAGGAGGGCACGCCCTCGGCGGGGTTAAGGATCCATCCACCGATCGTCCTTACCGAGGCCCAGGACATCACTTTGGTGGTCTTGTCGCTGAGGCAATGCATAATACCGGGCCCTGTTTGCGTGCAGCTCGCGAGCTCACCACCGAGTTTGGCCACGGTCGCCAAAGAGGGCACGCCCTCGGCGGGGTTAAGGATCCATCCACCGATCGTCCTTACCGAGGCCCAGGACATCACTTTGGTGGTCTTGTCGCTGAGGCAATGCATAATACCGGGCCCTGTTTGCGTGCAGCTCGCGAGCTCACCACCGAGTTTGGCCACGGTCGCCAAGGAGGGCACGCCCTCGGCGGGGTTAAGGATCCATCCGCCGATCGTCCTTACCGAGGCCCAGGACATCACGTCGGTGGTCTTGTCGCTGAGGCAAGACATGATACCGGGCCCGGTTTGTGTGCAGCTCGCGAGCTCACCACCCAACTTGGCCACGGTCGCCAAGGAGGGGAAGCCTTTGCCGGGGTTGAGGATCCATCCGCCGATCGTCTTTACGGATGCCCAGGACATCATGTCCGTCGCCTTGTCACTGATGCAGCGGAAAAGTTTGAGCCCCTGCTGCATGCAGCTCCCGAGCTCAACACCCAGGTTGGCCGCGGTCGCCAAGGAGGGGAAGCCCTCGACGGGGTTGAGGATCCATCCGCCGATCGTCTTTACCGAGGCCCAGGACATCACGTCGGTGGTCTTGTCACTGAGGCAACGCATAGCGGTTCTCCCAGTACTACTGACGCAGCTTGTGAGCTCACCACCAATGGTGGCTGCTGTCTTTAGTGCAGAAGGCAGCGCAATGGATCTTGATCCGAAGTTGAATCCGAACAACCCCGTGCTCTGCCCCAGCAGCGAGATCTTGCATTGAAACCTTCCAAAGTCGATGTACAGCCCATGAGAAGTGAAGCTTGTGATACGAGGATGTCTTGTGTATGGGCAGGAGGCACCAAAATCTGAGAAGCCTTGGGTGAGAACTTTGACGGCTTTCTCCACGGTATTGATGGTGTTCTCGCGTACCCACTTTGCCTCCGGGCTCTAGCATCTCTCCACAGCCGTGGTTGATGGGAAGGTCTGGAGTCCTAGACTTTAACAGCCCGTAAAAGCCCCACCTTGTCCTTTGCAGCAGCATAGCCGTCGGCCATCGTTTCGGCTACACTTTTGGCAACATCCACTGGGTTCCATCTTCTTCTGCGGTGCTTCCAAGGCCAACTTGCCTCATCTATGGCCGTCACTTGCGAAACTTGGATCATTGCAGACTCAGAAACTGGAACTAAGTAACTAGATTGACTAGAGCAGGTGATAGCACAGAGCACTGTTGTTGTGGCAGGACCAGGTACGGACTCTTCCTCAGAGGACGACGCGCTCTCAGCCGCCAAGTTTACCTCCGCCTCCGGTTCCTCAACATCCGATGCATGCGCCTCGTCCACTGGGAGACCCTCGTGGAAATCACCTCAGGTGCGCCCAAGGTGTTTGGCCAAATGTGTCGAGAATTTGCAGAGCCAAAGACAGCCAAGTCTCGCGTCTGTCGTTGGCGCATCTGCTTTAGCATCACTCTCTTCGCCAGGGCCTGGGCCTCATTCAATCGAGCCTGGGCGTCCTTGTGCTCCATTTGCAGCAAGACGGCTCCGTCTTTTTGACTTTCACCCTTCAAGGTATTGATCTCCTGTTGTTGTGCTTTGATCACCTTGGCTTGTTCTTGGATCGCTGCCTCATGCATCTCAGCTACGGTCTCGAGCTGCGCGACCTTCAAGAGTAAGAACTCCAGGTTTTTTGCGAGCTCGCCAAAACCCGCGTTGCTCTCGCTCTCATTGTCCCCCCCAGGGTTCGGAATCCCGTTGATGTCGTGCATGTCCCTCTGCATATTTTCGGACACCACCTCCTCAATCATCCTTTCAGCTGTTTCGTTCTTGGAGTCGGTCAGCTGGATCGGGCTCTCGGTCAACTTGAAGGTCCACGAAGTGGCGCAACAGGCGGCCAATATCAGCACGCAAGCGTGCGGCTTCATTAATGGTAACATCGCCGGCAAATGCCGACAGACCAGAGTATCTTCGGAGATCTACTCCGACACGGGGATGAGGAAACTTTCTGTGCTTCGTTTGAGTGAGCTGCGGCCAGCGCCAGAAGGCAAACATACAAGTTGCCAGACAACACCATGCAACGCACATCAACCCACCTGACAATTTAGGGTTTGCGCATGGCTTAGAGCTGAGGAGATACAAGGGCTTAGGGATCGGGCATAGGCCTTGGAGGCAAAAGCGAAACGCGACAATGCAGACGAAAAAATCAAGTCCACGAGGCTTCTGATGGTTGCGGAGCATATCTGCGGCCAGGACCTCCAGCATCAGGAAAGCAAGAGTCTTACCACATTCCAAAATGTTGTTTTCACCTACCGGTTCAGCTCAAGCTGTTATCACAGCTTAGGTTGTATTGTTTCTGCTTTGGCGCTGGGCGTTGAGAAGTCTAAGCCCCAACCAAGCACTCCGGGAAAACCTTGGACCCGAGAACGATGGCAAGGCCTCACGGACCTTCGTCAACTGTCTCACAGTGAGATTGACTTGAGGGACGCGGGCCCTTTGACTCGCCATGGTAAGAAGGTACCCTTGCAACAAACCCGAAGCGCCCAAGCATACACCACTGCTTCAACGCCGGGCACCCGGCCAGATGCTGTGAAACCAGCTTCCTGGGATTTCTGGGCCAGAAGATGGTACTGTGCCTCGGGACATCATGCGGCTGTGACGGACTGCAGGGTACCGAATAGTCGATGATTTCACCGCCGTCGAAAAGCTCGGATAATGAAAACTCTGCACATACTTGAAGTCGTGATCTCACAGCGGCATGGGAAAGACGTCAGCCGTGAGCCCGTCGCAGGGGCAGCCACCAGCACCTGGCTTTTCCCTTCTTGGCTTCTCGTGCACTACCATGGCATCTGAGAACAAGTGCAAGAGGGTTCGGTAATTTGATTTACTTGGTTGCGGATGCAAGAACGCAGTTTTAACAGGCTTCTCGCTAGCTGCACGCATCTTGTCCACTCCAAAACAAAAACAGCAAGTCTATACTGGGCTCCGAACCGTTTCTAGAGCTCTTTAAAAGCTTGATTTAAAACGTGCTTCCAATGCAGCTCGTCCTGCGAGATTTCAGGACAAAAGCGAGAACTGTACAGTAAAATTGTGGAATTCATCGGCGATGATGCCAGTAGCGCCCGTAGTGCGACCACTTTTTCAAGCGGCGGTTTCTGTGCCACCACTTCTTCAGGCGGCGGTTTCGGTGCAACCACTTCTTGAGGCGGCGGTTTCTGGGGCTGCGCATGTTGCTTCTGTGGGACTTTTTGTGGTAGCCATGGCCAACACACTCCACCAAAACGACGAAGCTCTCTTGCGTGGTGCTGCCTGCTGCGTCGACTGCGGTGCAGGTCACTTGTGTCTCGCCGACGGCGAACTCGGAGCCCGATGACGGACTGCAAGCAGAGGTCACACCCTGGCAGTTGTCAGTTGCTGTAGGAGAAAATGTGACTGCAGTCGGACTGCAGGACTGCACATTGATATCCTCCACGTCAAGAGCTGGGTGCTCGTTGTCATTTACCGTAACAGTGAAGCTACCGCTTGCAGTGTTGCCAGCTGCATCGGTCGCAGTGTAAGTCTCTGTGGTGGCGGACCCCACTGAGAAAACAGCGCCCGAGCCGGATCCGCTGGTCAATGCAATCGTCGCTCCCTGACAGTTGTCTGTTGCATCTACAGGATAGGTCACCACGGCCCCACACACCCCAGGGTCGCTGCTCACCGCGATGTCCGCAGGCAAAACCGGCACGGGGTCCTCGTTGTCATTCACCGTAACAGTGAAGCTCTCGCTGTCGGTGTTGCCAGAAGCATCGGTCGCGGTGAAGGTCTCCGTCGTGCTGCCCACTGGGAAAGCAGCGCCGGAGCCGAGGCCGCTGGTCAGCGCCATCGCCCCTCCCGGACAGTTGTCCGTCGGGGGATTAGGAGCAGGATAGGACACGACGGCCACACACAGTCCAGGGTCGTTGCCCACTGTGATGTCAGCTGGCAGACCTGAAATCACTGGGTTCTCGTTGTCGTTCACCGTAACAGTGAAGCTACCGCTTGCAGTGTTGCCAGCTGCATCGGTCGCAGTGTAAGTCTCTGTGGTGGCAGGCCCCACTGAGAAAACAGCGCCCGAGCCGGATCCGCTGGTCAGTGCAATCGTCGCTCCCTGACAGTTGTCTGTTGCATCTACAGGATAGGTCACCACGGCCCCACACACTCCAGGGTCGCTGCTCACCACGATGTCCGCAGGCAAAACCGGCACGGGGTCCTCGTTGTCATTCACCGTAACAGTGAAGCTCTCGCTGTCGGTGTTGCCAGAAGCATCGGTCGCGGTGAAGGTCTCCGTCGTGCTGCCCACTGGGAAAGCAGCGCCGGAGCCGAGGCCGCTGGTCAGCGCCATCGCCCCTCCCGGACAGTTGTCCGTCGGGGGATTAGGAGCAGGATAGGACACGACGGCCACACACAGTCCAGGGTCGTTGCCCACTGTGATGTCAGCTGGCAGATCTGAAATCACTGGGTTCTCGTTGTCGTTCACCGTAACAGTGAAGCTACCGCTCGCAGTGTTGCCAGCTGCATCGGTCGCAGTGTAAGTCTCTGTGGTGGCGGACCCCACTGAGAAAACAGCACCCGAGCCGGATCCGCTGGTCAGTGCAATCGTCGCTCCCTGACAGTTGTCTGTTGCATCTACAGGATAGGTCACCACGGCCCCACACACTCCAGGGTCGCTGCTCACCACGATGTCCGCAGGCAAAACCGGCACGGGGTCCTCGTTGTCATTCACCGTAACAGTGAAGCTCTCGCTGTCGGTGTTGCCAGAAGCATCGGTCGCGGTGAAGGTCTCCGTCGTGCTGCCCACTGGGAAAGCAGCGCCGGAGCCGAGGCCGCTGGTCAGCGCCATCGCCCCTCCCGGACAGTTGTCCGTGGGGGGATTAGGAGCAGGATAGGACACGACGGCCACACACAGTCCAGGGTCGTTGCCCACTGTGATGTCAGCTGGCAGATCTGAAATCACTGGGTTCTCGTTGTCGTTCACCGTAACAGTGAAGCTACCGCTCGCAGTGTTGCCAGCTGCATCGGTCGCAGTGTAAGTCTCTGTGGTGGCGGACCCCACTGAGAAAACAGCACCCGAGCCGGATCCGCTGGTCAGTGCAATCGTCGCTCCCTGACAGTTGTCTGTTGCATCTACAGGATAGGTCACCACGGCCCCACACACTCCAGGGTCGCTGCTCACCACGATGTCCGCAGGCAAAACCGGCACGGGGTCCTCGTTGTCATTCACCGTAACAGTGAAGCTCTCGCTGTCGGTGTTGCCAGAAGCATCGGTCGCGGTGAAGGTCTCCGTCGTGCTGCCCACTGGGAAAGCAGCACCGGAGCTCAGGCCGCTGGTCAGTGCAATCGTCGCTCCCGGACAGTTGTCACTAAACGTAGGTGCTGCAAAGGTCACAACAGCGTCACACTGACCAGGAGCAGTGTCCACTATGATGTTTGCAGGCACAGACCAAATCTTCGGGTTCTGTCTGTCATTCACCGTAACCGTGAAGCTGGCGGTTGCAGTGTTGCCAGAAGCATCGGTCGCTTCGAAGGTCTCCGTGGTGATGCCCACTGGGAAGTCTTGGGCGGAGCCCAAGCCGGCGGTTTGCACAACCGATGGCGCCGGGTCGCAGAAGTCCGTCGCACTGGGCCACTTGTAGGGCACCTCGCCCTCACACTTGCCCAAGTCGTTGGAAAATGTGATGTCAGAAGGCACGACCAGCACGGGCGGTGTTTGGTCAGGAGAACAAACACTGAGTGTAATATCATCTGCAATACCCGGGACATCGATATGTTTCACGCGTGCTTGTACGAGGGCCTGATCGTCGTCGTTGGCACAGCTTGCATTTGTCAGGTGCTCCCCATTCAACACATCCGCGAGCACAGCCAAGGCTGCCAGCAGCACTTTGCCTATAAAAGTGCAGCCCTGCATGTCGCAAGTCGGGGAGGTCCCGAGAAGCTGAGCTTTTGATCCTGCACTACATGCTAAGCTCGAGCCGTCTGCAAGCAACCGGTCTATGGTACAGAGCATAGATCCGTCCTCCGCAGGGAAACCGAGCGTGTGTTGACTGATGCTTACCAGTGCGAACTTGTCGACCACCCCACCACCACCACCACCACCACCACCACCAAAAACAAAAACAACAAATACCCACAGACGTAAAAAATCAAATTCCAACAGAAATTCGGTCGCCAGCGTAGAGGGAAACAATGCCGAGGCAGGAGCGGTGGTGCAGTGCCTGGAACCGTGTTTCCCCATCAGTACTCGCAGGTTGCGTCAAAAATGCAAGGACTGCTGTTTGCTGCGGGTTGGGGCCTGCGTCGAACATACAGAGACTGGTGGTTACTCTGGGCGCGAGACGACACAAGGCGCTCCTTGGCACCACAGACGCAAACTAGAAAACACAAAAATTGCCCTCCCGCGGGCTGCGTGACCGTGGCTGTGCTGAACCCGAGCGGAGCCTTCGTCGCTGATATAGGCCAGCCAAGACCTTGCAACTTTCACAGGGGCCCAGCACTCTTTGCCCCACACGCATGCTTTGGGCAACGCATGAAACTGCGAATTGACATCAGTCACTCGAAATATTGCTCTGCAATTGGCTCATCTGCTCTTGCTGAGGTGATTCTGTGAACGGCTGCTACACCGAATTTCGCATGCTTCTGGACATCTGGGCAGTACGAGGTTCAAGGGTCAGCCTCCATGGTCACACCCCTTCTGAGGAATGTCTGCTCCCTGCTGGGCAGGACTCGCACTACCTGTGCTCGTGCTGCGTCTGTTAGCGACGCGCAGCGCCAACGACAAGGGTGTGCAACATTGAGATGCGGCAGGTTCGCAGGGCATGCATGCTTGTTCGACCTGGGCATGCTAGAACAAGAAGCACCCCCACGCCAGATCCTATGCTTTGCGGTGACAAAGATACCGAGGATTCAACTATGCAGTGCTTTTAGTTCGGGCTGCCACCAGCACACAGCTACCATGTTAAAAGCCGATTGTTCCGGTCAACACATTCTCACCCAGGCTCCGCACGAGTCGAGGAGCGCTTCCTGGAGGCAACACGGAGAGAAGACTAGTGACTAGTGGATGAATCGAACACCCAACGTCATGTCAAGGCAATCAATCTCATATCTGCCATGCCTGCATCATGCTTTGGATCAACAACATCACCATCACGGGGAACACTTGTGCAAAAGCCCCTTCAGCACTGGCTTGGAAGCAGGCCACGTTTTTCCTTCGGACCCAATTCAGGTCCTGCTAAGGTCTGGCCTCCCGCGAAGCCGAGAGGACAGGCCGGAAAGAGCCCCTTGAGTCTAAAGGCAACAAATTCCGCAAAGTCACACAGAACATCACAGAACAGAGACCTTCCGCGATCACTCAAGGAGGTGGCCTCGCTTTAGCGTTGGCGGCTGATGGGCAGCGAGACGTCGCCCTCCAGCCTTGAGACTGTAAAACAAGGAAGCTAGGACGTCCAACGACAAGAGCTTCGTGGCCCCTGGCGGGTGAGCTTCTGGCAGTTGACGAGCTCGAAGGTCCTGGCGTGGCATCATAGACCTCGAAAAGCTGGTTGAAGTGTTCATCGAAATGCCTGTTAGGCAAACCTAGCGAAATGTCCCCAATTAGATTGTACTCGATCTACAATACCATGACTCTGTGCAAGCCATGACGAAGGTGACAGCCCCCGTTGCACTTGCAAACCGGGGCACTGAGTCCCAGTGCCCAGAAGATCGGGGCCAGAAGGTTCACGCTCTCGCAAGCATGACCACCTTCTGGGTTTAGGGAACATGAGCTTAACAAGCACATGAAGCCAGGTGTTGGTGTGGACTGTGTGTTTGCGCACTGAGGCAACTAAGACTGTTTTCGATCTCCGACCTAACAGTTGGATCTATCGCCAAGATTTACCGGCTTGGGTTATCTTGGACTCAATAACCAACACGACCCTTCTTCCTGGACAAGCCCTTCAAAATAATGAAGGATGGAACCTCCAACCTACCGCCGAAATTACCTCTAGGTTCCGATCATAATCGTGACAGGGCGCACATAGCACCAACACCCACCTAGAAACAAGGCAGCTCAAATGTACAGACCACCACAATCTTGCCCAGGACCCATGCATCGCCCAGCGATAGGGTGGCCTAGACCAGACTCTAAGACATTACATTGAAATTGAATCAATACGCCCGGCCCGTTCCATCACCTGGCCAAACTTCTTGCGCAACTCCTTCAACGACCTGAAACAGAGAGCAGACCTACGAGCGCTGGAGCAAGGACAGTCACAAACACCAACGCATCAGGGATAAAACATCAGGCCCAAACTCACCCTTGTCGGTTGTTTGCCGACCAAGCTCGTTTACATCCATGGCTTCTTTTGTCTTAAACACCAGAAGCTGAAGGAGCTGAGGCGAAATTCGTGCGATTCTTGAACCCTGTCGCATGCTGGCTATGCTTTCAGAGCTGCACTCAGGTTGGCAACAGTGTGCATGCAGATTATGCAAGGCAACCGGCAACCATGTCGTCCAAAACAGCTATAACAACATGCATACACACCAAAATCCATCCGCGTTGTTATTGCACATAACAGACATCAGTGCTTCCACTCAAATGGAAAGGGCTAGCTTATGTGCAACGGCAAAGCTTTGCTGTACAGGACTTGTGTCATTTCACCACAAAATGATGAGAGCTATGCCGCACATGCCCTCAAATCCTGTACTAGGCCCATGCATCCCAAACCTGCCGCAAGATCACAGACACCCTTTTCTCGGCTTTGCTCGGCCCATCATGAAGAGCAATGCTTCAAACTGCCACAACAAGCAGTCGGGATGGCCAGCAGGCGCCGTCGCATCAAAATGCAGATGCACTCCAAGCCCTACACCCCTGCGCAAGACGCACGCTTCGGACCTTCAGGCAGCCGATGCCTCAACCGTAAAGGTGCACCTAGACCTGAAGGCATCATGCTATTCTCAATTGCGACACCTCTTGGCCCGTGGTCAGGAACATTCGCTGAAGTCAGACAGGCATCGACATCAAACGTGCACCGACGCGATGGAAGCGTCGCCTTGGCAAAACCACACAGGCCCGACGTGCAGGTGGCAACTCCAGGATGCCAAGCCATGACAGAGAGCATGACAAAACCCTGGATGCTTTCGCTGCCCCGGCGGTCAGCTTCGGGAGAAGGAAACTGCACCGTGAGAGCAGGGTGCAGCACGGTGTGCAGCACGGTGTGCAGCATGGTGTGCAGCATGGCGCAGCCAAGTCGGCCACGGGCATGCAATGAAGGGATCAACCTCAAAGGGGACTTGGAAGCAGAGGCCCACTGCGATAGTGCCTCATGTGCCTCTTGTGCCTCACACGGAGGGATCGGACAAGACTTTTGAGACGGTGAAGGATTGTTTCGGACGCAGTGAGGCAAGCCCAGAGTCCTCTCCCTTGGCTTTTGTCACAAACCTTAAGCGTATCGGCCAGTCACGAGTCATGAGGCCTGCATTGAGACAGCATGCAGCATGCCGGCAGAAGGAAAGCACCTAGAACAAGATGATATGCACCATTTTGAAGCTGCAGAGCGAGTGGTCGTACTGCAGCCGACGGGAACCAGGTTTGGGTCCTCCCTGTGCCCCTTCGCCATGGCCCTCAAAGCCAATTCTTTGGTTACGAAGGTTTGGTGTCTCGTTGGCATCAAAGGAGTGTCTGTCAGCCAGGGAAAGCAAGTTGATGAGCAGCCTGCAGAAACACAAGAGAGGGGTTTGGCGAGCCTTACTTGGATATATGGTCTGCGCAACCTCAAGACGAAAGGCTTTTCTGATCGGTCCTCTCTAGAAGGGGAACTTCGACCGAAGGATACCGAAGGCGCAGGATAAGCATGTCATCTCATGTCTCCCAAAGCTTTGCATCGAAACTTCCAGGACTTCATCGGGCTCCAAAAAGCCCCAGCCGCCTTTGGCAGGCAGCACAAGGTCTAGGTACTTCAGGCCCACTGCAAACGTCACGAAATTTTCGTGATCCAAAACGCAACGTTTGCCAGACCGGGAGGAGGACAGTGGCAGAATTTCCGTGGACGTCAAGCGTTGATGGGAGAGGGAAAGGCTGTAACCGATGTAGGAAGCAATGTCCCAATAGTTTGAACGGTTTTCGGTCGGCATGGTTTAGCCAAGCACGCTTTGTGCAAGCAGTGGCCTTCAGGTATCGTCCAGAAACGTTAGTAAACAAGTGCTTGCAGAGGGCCGACCCTCTATCCTCTAAAACCTCAAGCCCCTGCGAACTTTCTGGACCTTCAAAACTCTGCAAACCCTGCAAACAACAACCTGGGTATGTTGAGGGCTCTGCCAAGGGAACAAGGGAAGCCACACCCGAGAACCCTGAAACGCTCGGATGAAATTTTGGGGGACAGAAAAGCACCCCGAAGAGCCTCTTTCGCTGCCGGTTTCTTTACCGGCGGAATGCTATTCTTGGGATGCTTGCCTGTAAATCCTTGTCATGGAGGCACGTCTGATGCTTTCATTCTAAAGCTTCTTAAGTCTGCTCAAGGCTTCCCTCGCTTCTGTAGAGCTCGTCCGGTCTTCCTGGAGCTGCCTTCTTTGTCTCTGAACGGCACCGCTGCTTCAGAAGCCAGCCCCCGAAAAGGCAGGATCGAGGAATGCGTTGAATCGGCGACGCTGTGGACACAACATCCACCCCACTTCCTGCCAGGGCTTTGGAAAGGACCAAAATTTGGCCTGCAAAGAAGACAAGGTGTGGTTCGCTTGTTTTTGGAAGGCCGCTTTAGGAGCTGCCAGCATGTGGGACTTCGGGGACTCGTCCAACGGAACTGTGCAGCTCTCAGCCACACCTGCAAAACAGAGCAAATCTCATCATGGAGGGAGATCTCTTTGGGCTCGGAAGCCTTGCCTTCAGCACACTTAGTCTTGGTGTCGCGTGCACGCATGGAGCATGCGCTATGTGCGGGGCTGGCGATCCATCGCAGTCTCATGTCGAATGGCGATCTCACCCACGGTACCTTTGAGAACACCAGAGCCTAGGAGAGCTTAGCCTCGGGGGAAATCCGACACGGATTACCACACCCTGAGATCACGAAACAGCCATGTCGTGTGTTAGCATGTCCTGGAAAGCTAATCGGGCCAAGGCTCCAGGAATGCTGCCTGAACCAACAAGCAGGTCATAGCATGTCGTGCCAGTTTGCTTCCGTAACAAACTTGAACAAACTGCCGTCTTGCAGTGCCTGTACAGCTTGATGCTCAACTCTCCACGAAATGTTGGGGTCAAAGGATGTCACCGAAACCAGTGCACTTCCTGGGCTGTATTACCGAATAGGTACGAATCGGTCTGAATACTATGGAGAAAGTGCGAGGCATACCTTGAAATGCCCGGCAGGTTGTTTGCGTGTGAGCGTCAACAGGGGCTCTGGAACCATCATGCAAGTCTCAGGAACTGTTAGAAGCATGTTCAGAAACAGCCCCAAATCGTCCGGAACAGTCCCGAAGCGTCGGAACGATAGTAAAGTGCCGATCTGGGCTTCAAAGTTCGAAGGACCGAATAGGTCTCGAGATTAATGTCACGATTCTTGAGGCCAGAAAACGCAAGGACAGTTACCCTCTATTAAACAGACCACCAACGATTCCAAGGCATACCGAAATTGCACGACATCATATGCGTGCGCGTGGCTGCGCAAGTTTGTACCCGTTTGCACAACATCGCGCGAGATCGCACTGAAACAGGCAAACTGCCGTCTTGCAGTGCCTGTACAGCTTGATGCTCAACTCTCCACGAAATGTTGGGGTCAAAGGATGACACCGAAACCAGTGCACTTCCTGGGCTGTATTACCGAATAGGTATGAATCGGTCTGAATACTATGGAGAAAGTGCGAGGCATACCGAAATTGCACGACATCATATGCGTGCGCGTGACTGCACAAGTTTGTACCCGTTTGCACAACATCGCGCGAGATCGCACTGAAACAGGTGGACACCAAAACATGCGAGAACATCACTGCAAGTATCGTCCAAACTCCGCCCTGCCCCAAGGGCATCATCCTGGATCCTGGAATACTTTCTTTCACAACCGCGCAGATGTACCGTGTAAGTAGAGCCCCAAGCGGCCGTGTGATGAATGTTGCGATGCAAAACCCGCATCTCATGCGATTTTTAGGGGGTCGTACGAAACGCATTAACAGGGAGGGGAATACGTTAAGATGCCTTGCCCGGTCCTATTCAGAGGGGCGCGGAAAAGCATTTTCACGGAGAAGCAATGCGAGAACACACTAGAAAATGCGAGTGCAAACCACCGTGATTGCAATGGCAACTTGAGCTGAGAGGGGTTGTGGAGCCACAACATCGGTTTCTGAATTGCGACCCTCTGTTCTGAAGAAACAGCTCCTGCAAGATGCCTGAGGTTGCATCACATTGCACAGCTCAGGCCAAGTTCGGACAAAGCAACTGACAGCTTTTCCTGAAGCGGCCTACGCGCCTGGAGGGCACAGGGGCACCAAAGATAGGCTGCTCAAGGCGAGGAGCTGCATATGCTGAGACGTGGACCCAAGGATCCCCTTCGAAGAGTGAGTTTTGAAGGCCGGGAACCCTAAACGCACCGCCGCAGGAAAAACCTTGCTTTTTGGGGGGAAGACGTCGGGAGTGGCCGGAGCGCATGGACCTCGGAAGATTTCACTTAGAAGAGGCCTCTAGCTTTCAGGGTCCTTCCCTGCAAGCTGACAGCGTCTCCAAGCCCGCCTTGTTGCTTTGCTGCCTATTTGTCGTGGCGCTTCGCGCCAGGACTCCATACCAGGCTACTGGGCCACAGCTGCAAGCTCCAGCCGGTCAATCAAAGCACCAGTCTCGAGACCGCCCCGACCACCCCAAAAACTCTGTGATGACCTACATCGCCGCCCAAGCGCATGTCTTCTCGCAAACAAAGAGCGGACCACGTTCTGATGGGTTTCGCCAAAATGATGCAAAATGATGCATCTCCAACTGTGCAAAGCCACTTCGTCAGTCGGCTTGTGGGTACAGAAGCCTGAACAAAGCCGTCCTGTCGCATCTCGCATTCCAGCACATGTAGGGAAGCCGCAGATCTGCATCTGACTCATTCTATGTCTATATCTTGGAATCTTTCCGACGACAGCTGAGCTGTCCAAGCCACTTCGGATGCATGAGCTGAGACCTCGGTTCGCAGGAGTGCGTTTCCTGCGAACACAAATTGGCTTTGACCCAGCCGTTGGGAACATCCGTTGGAGAATGCTCTCGAGGGGCATCGCCACACTATGTGCTCTTAACTAGGGGGAAGTCTCCTACCTGCAAAGCCATCACCTGCGCGCAAGCATCCCAAGCGCAAGTCAAACCACTGGGCAGCCCACCTGACTGAAAGTAGGCACCCATTTTGCAACTCCCAAACAGCAGCTTATGCTCGCACTCTCTTGTTTGTTCCCACCATGGAACAGTCGTGGAGGCAGCTTAGAACTCCTCAGCAACTCGACGACCGGAGAAAAGATTAATGCGCAGGCCTGGTCTCCATCACGCTCGGCTTCTTCGCATGCAACAACCGAGGGACACTTACACTGCAGGGCCTGCAAAGATCGTTTGAGTACGCTGTGATATCGAAACATATACTTCATGTCATGTCACGCCGCATGCCCATTCCTGTTATGCAAACGCTCCTCAGAAGTACACCGATATCTGGCGCAACGCATGTTGCTTGGCCGCAGCAGTCATCGTACAAAAGGTGTGCGCCACGTTCTGATGGGTTTCCCAAAAGTGATGCACCTCAAACTGCACCTGAACAAAGCCGTCCTGTCGCATCTCGCATTCCAGCACATGTAGGGAAGCCGCAGATCTGCATCTGACTCATTTTATTGCTTGAAGTCTCTCCGGCGAAAGCTGAGCTGTCCAAGCTAGTTTGGATGCGTGAGCTGAGACCTCGGTTCGCAGGAGTGCGTTTCCTGCGAACACAAATTGGCTTTGACTCAGCCGTTGGGAACATCCGTTGGAGAATGCTCTCGAGGGGCATCGCCACACTATGTGCTCTTAACTAGGGGGAAGTCTCCTACCTGCAAAGCCATCACCTGCGCGCAAGCATCCCAAGCGCAAGTCAAACCACTGGGCAGCCCACCTGACTGAAAGTAGGCACCCATTTTGCAACTCCCAAACAGCAGCTTATGCTCGCACTCTCTTGTTTGTTCCCACCATGGAACAGTCGTGGAGGCAGCTTAGAACTCCTCAGCAACTCGACGACCGGAGAAAAGATTAATGCGCAGGCCTGGTCTCCATCACGCTCGGCTTCTTCGCATTCAACAACCGAGGGACACTTACACTGCAGGGCCTGCAAAGATCGTTTGAGTACGCTGTGATATCGAAACATATACTTCATGTCATGTCACGCCGCATGCCCATTCCTGTTATGCAAACGCTCCTCAGAAGTACACCGATATCTGGCGCAACGCATGTTGCTTGGCCGCAGCAGTCACAACAACGGTTGCTCTCTCCTGCTCTCCTGTCCTTGCGAAGTGTCGCGCCAGGACTCCATACCAGGCTACCGGGCCACAGCTGCAAGCTCCAGCCGGTCAATCAAAGCACCAATCGCGAGACCACCCCAAAAACTCTGTGATGACCTAAATCACAGCACCAGTCTCGAGACCACCCCGACCACCCCAAAAACTTTGTGATGACCAACATCGCCGCCCAAGCGCATGTCTTCTCGCAAACAAGGAGCGGACCACGTTCTGATGGGTTTCGCTAAAATGATGCAGCCAAGCCACTTCGTCAGTCGGCTGGTGGGTACAGAAGCCTGAACAAAGCCGTCCTGTCGCATCTCGCATTCCAGCACATGTAGGGAAGCCGCAGATCTGCATCTGACTCATTCTATGTCTATATCTTGGAATCTTTCCGACGACAGCTGAGCTGTCCAAGCCACTCCCGATGCATGAGCTGAGACCTCGGTTCGCAGGAGTGCGTTTCCTGCGAACACAAATTGGCTTTGACCCAGCCGTTGAAAACATCCGTTGGAGGATGCACTTGATGGGCACCGGAACACTATGTGCTCTTAACCGGGGGGAAGTCTCCTACCTGCACAGCCCTCTTTTGCGTTGCACGCAAAATAGCAGCTTCTGCTGGGACTCTCTTGTTTGTTTCTCGCCACACTCGAACAGTCGTGCATGCCACTTCCTAGCAGCTCGACGACGGGAGAAAAATTTGGAGAAAAAATTAATGAGCACACTTGGTCTTCTTGACGCCCGGCTTCCTTCGCATTAGGCAATACCCGCCGCCACCTCTGCAGCCCTGCATATGTCACAACAAGGACAGGCAGCACTCACCCATGAAGGGCTGCAGAGTGCCTTCGACACTGCGAAAACTAGACTCCCTGTAAGCGCAACCCATCAAGCAAAATTTGGCGAGGTAACTCTGTCTTCTTGGTGGCAATGTAGACACACAGCGACACGGATCTGTTGTCCTGGCAATCATTCGGAAGCACTGTGATGGCCGGAGGAACGCATGCTGGGCACAACAGTTGCAGCAGGTTTTGCTTCGTGAGTCCTCACACTGGGACAAGCGCCGATCCACAAATACGAACTAGAGAGCCACGGCATCACTGGAAAGAATGTGAAGACCTTACTCGAAGACGTCACCACACGCAGGTGAGATAGGGGTGGGCATGCGGTAAATAGGTCGATGACCGAATCCAAACCTTTTTCTTCGTACCTTACAACCAGCGCCCTGCTTCCGGACAAATTGCGACATAGGGCTGGTCAGCCATTTCGAATCGATGGTCCATCAGCAGTCTTGTATACGATTTGGTGAACATATGTACGCAGGTGCGTGCGTGCGTAGAAGCGTGACGTACCTACTTACAATGAAGGGAGTTTCTGCCAGCACAGGTCTCCCCCACATCACCACTGTGCATATTTGGGTGAAGACTCATCAAAGCATCCAAGGATTTTAGCCCGCTGCACGCTGACCTGACCTGTGCCCACCGCACCTCGAGTTTTCTGCACGAGAAGGGCGTGGATCCGACAGCGAGCAAGACTGCGAATTG